CAAATTATACTTTAATTAAAAAGTTCTGAAAATGAATGTTAAAAAAGGCATGTAGACTGGAAAAATGAAATAAAATAAAGAATGCTAACTTGTACTTTTCCTTTTCCCAGACATTCTAATAGGAACCTTTAACTCTGTTTACCCCCTCTGTTTATATATTGGTATTCATCTATTTCATATAGATGTTCATTTAAATTCACCCTGTTGTCATGTTCTTTAACTTTTTCTTCCTACATCTTTCGTCTTCTACCAGACATAATTTTCATTCTGCCTATTCTCTTTGGTGTTTTTTGTTCATGAAGTTCTACTTGCTTCAGCACCTGGTTATTTTTTATTATGTGTTAGATACTAAATGTGCAAAATTGTTTGTACAGATATTCTGGAGCCTAAGATGTTCTCTTCCTCTAGAGAGTATTTTTGTTTGTTTCTCTAGGTACCTGGGGCAGTAGTTACCTGAAATCACCTTACTCTGATTTCAGGATTTGAATAGCATATGAGGTAATGCATATGTTAATTAGCTCTATGGAGCCTTTCCACAGTGTGTACATATTTCAAAACATCATATTGTACATGATAAATATGTATATTTTTATTTGTCCATTAAAATAAAATTTAAAAATTTCAGTATTTCAGATGATTTAATGCTGAGAAGACTTATATATTAGGTTGAAAGCATTCAGGGCCCCAGCCCAAATTGTGAGTGTGTTCTCCACGGTCTCTTGTTGAGCCCTGGAGTGTGAGTTCTGTTTGTCTGTTCCCAAGAGGCTGGAGGAAATACACACAGCCTCCTCGCATCTCAGCTGCCCTTCCTCAGTCAGCACAGAGCTCCATGGAGAAAACATGCTCAGATGCTGGTTTCACTTCTCCTGGCTTCCTTCGTCCCTCAGATCCTGGTCTTTAATTCCTCTCTGTTTTATTAGCTCTCTGATGCATTAAAGCAGATTTAAATACATATATGTATTTATTTTTTACAACCAATTATCCTCACAATGAGGGTTGGTCTGAATTAACATTCTGCCATTACAGAAGCAAATATGGCCTATGCCCTTTTTCATGCCCATACACACACACACACACACACACACACACACACACACACACACACACAAATGTCCTATTCTTAAAAACAGTGTTGAGATAATTTTACACATTTTATTATGCAAGGTGCTGCTTTTGATTTAATATGTTATAAATTGGTATTAGAATCATTAAGCAAATGTATATTTACTATATGTTTATTCCTGTGCCAAGTGCTGTGGGGGTGCGGTGATGTTCAACACAGACGATTTCCTGTCATTATGTGGCTTATGTTTGGCCAGGTAGATAGCTTTAACAAGTAACCACATGATTAATTAATTGTAGTTTTGATAGTGGTAAGAATAGTGTCCCTTGAGTACATAGAACAGAAAAATTTGTCTCCTCGGCATCTTAGTTTTTCCTTTCACATTATACTCAGTACATTTTAAAATATCATTAAAAATTTTAATAAACATTTGATCAGTGTGGTCGTTCATTTTATGTATTTGATGTAATTTATTTAGCCATTCTCATATTGTTGGGCCTTTACCTTGTTTCCAGTTTTTCTTCCTGATACTTTTGTACTATACATTATTGTATATAGTCCAAAATTCAGTAACTGATTTATTTTTTTTTTAGGATAGAATTGTGGGATAAGAGTACTGAGTAAAGTATATGGAAAATTCTTGATGTTTATTGTCGTATTTCTTTTTTTAAAATTTCAAAGTATTAAGGGTGCTCAAATGTTTTGGTTACATCGATAGCTTTTATAATGCTTTAGTTGGGCCATCAGTGTGCCCATCACTCCAATAGTGTTCATTGTATCTGTTAAGGTGCATTTTTACCCTTCTCTTCCTCTCCCCTTCCTCCTACCCCCTCCTTAATTTCTAACGACTTTTACTTCTCTCTGTGCCCAGGCGTGCCCGTTGGTTAGTTCCAAATTATCAGAGAGTAACTGGGGTGTTTGTTTTTTCATTGCTGAGATACTTCACTTAGGATAGTGGTCTCCAATTCCATCAAAATTCCTGCAAAAGACATTAATTCATTCCTTTTTATGGCTTAGTAGTACTCCCCAGTATGTATGTGTGTGTGTGTCTGTGTGTGTGTGTATACCACACCACGTTTTGTTAATCCACTCACGAATTGATGGGCACATAGGTTGATTCCATATCTTCAGGATTGTGAATTGTGTTGCAATAAATATTTGAGTGTGTTTTTAATAAAATGATTTTTTTTCCTTTGGGTAGATACCCCATAGTGGGTTTGCTGGATCGAGTATTAGGCCTACTTTTAGTTCTTTAAGGAATCTCTATACTGTTTTCCACAGAGGTTGTACTAATTTGCACTTCCATCAACAGTGTATAGATGTTCCTTTCTGTCTTCATCCATGCCAGCATACCTCTTGTTTTTGACCTTTTAATAATAGCTATTCTGACCAGGCATAAGGTGATTTCTCATTGTGGTTCTAATTTGCATTTCCCTGATGATTAGTGATTTTGAGCATTTTTCCATGTATTTGTCTGTCTTCTTTTGAAAAGCTTCTGTTCATGTTTTTTGCCCACTTTTTAATGGTTGTTTGTTTTGTTTGTGCTTTGTATGAGTTCTTTGTAGATTCTCGGTATTAGCCCTTTATTGGATGTATAGATTGAGAATGTTTTCTCGCATTTTGCAGGTTGTCTATTTGCTCTGCTGATCATTTCATTTGCTGTGCAGAAGCCTTTTAATTTAATCAAGTCCCACTTATTTATTTTTATTGTTGTGATTGCCTTTGGGGTCTTAGTCATGAATTCTTTGCTTAGGCCCATGTCTAGAAGAGTTTTTCCTACATTTTCTTCTGTCATTTTTTATGGTTTTATGCTTTACATTTGAGTCTTTTATCCATCTTGTATTAATTTTTGTAAGTGGTGAGAGCTAGGGGTCCTGTTTCATTTTTCTGCATGTGGCTGTCCAATTTTCCCAGCACCATTTATTGAATAGGGAAGATTTCTTTCTCCATTGTATGCTGTTGTCTGCTTTGTGGAAGATCAATTGGTTATAGGTATGGTTTTACCTATAACCAATGGATATATTGGTTTTATATGTCTGTTCTACTCCATTGGTCTATGTCTCTATTTTTGTAGTAAATTGAAACAATTTAGAGTCCGAATTTTCGGCCGGATTGTCACAGAGCTGTTATCTTCTGCTAAGTGCGTGGTATTTGGAGGCTCATACCTATGCCATTGCTGGTGATGTTGACTTTAATTACTTGGCTGTGGTAATGTCTGCCAAGTCCTCTACTATGAAATTATTCTCTCTCCTTTGTAGTCTGTAGGTATTTTTGGTCAAGAATATATCATGGGACAATGTAAACAATTTGCTCCACTGATTTTGCATCCATTGATGATTTTTGCCTGAATCAGTTGTTTCTGTGATGACTGACAGATACGGATTTTTAAATTCCACCATTCTTTCTTTATTAGGTGGCATTATTTTATAAGAAATAACTTCCCCTTTCCACTGCTTATTAATTTTTTTATCCACTCATGTGTTCTTATTTTGTTCAATGAGCTACATAATCCGTTACTTTCAAATCATCCCGGTGTGGCCCGTGGGAGCGTATTCAAGCTGGCTTTCCCGTCCTTTTGACATGTTCACATCGTTCTTTGAGCACTACGGTACCTTGCTTTTTCGCACAGTAAGATGTTTCCAGCTTAGCTTGTGCTTTCTGAGCTCCAGCCCCAAAACCAACCACTTGTCCAGAGAGCCTTGACTGCTTACGTGGAATGTGGCTGTGGACAACAGGATTGGTGCTAGGTTAGCTTAATGGGTTTAAGTATAAGTGTTGAGACTAGAGTGTTTTAGAAGTGTTCGTTATTCTCTTCAAAGATCTGATAGTTGTCTTAGTTCTTAAAAATTTACTCATGGTAACACAGAAATGTAAGAATAAATGATTGGCTCTTAAGTACTCGTACTTAATTTTCTTTGCGTTGTCTGATATGGATGTGTCACTTGCTTGATTATGGAAAATGCTGCATGACTCAGTCAGTTAAATGGAGACGGGAGGGTGAGGTCAGGAATATTCCTGCTGAGCGGTGACTTGGGGCCAAGAAAAATATTTGGTTCTGGATTTGAGTGTCCAGGCTCTGCCGAGTATCAGCCACCCTAAAATGTCCATGCTGCCCTTTCATTTTTTAGGTGTAATGTATATATATATAGCTATGTTAATGACTTTCTTTTGGGTGGGGGTAGCATTGGTATTTTAATATAGTTGATCTTTTTATGTTGTTATTCTTCAGTTATAGTTGTTTTCGTCAATGAAATATGTCTTATTAATAGTCTCAGAGTATTTGAATGTCACATATAATTAGAAGGAATATTGAAGATTTTATGAATAACCTTGAAGATTGAAGCGAAAGTTTAAGAAAAGGAAACTATTAAGTATGTTTGGATTAGTGTACTTTAACTCTTTAGGATTTTGAAAAATCAAAAACTAAAAACTTTCACTGAAAGTATTTATCTGAAATCTCTCTTAGATTGGTATGCACATAGTTTCATATTTAAGATTTCATAACTTGACGTGAGAATCAGTTATAAAGAAACTGATTGCATGTGGTAAGGTCCATGTTAGGGCTGTAAAACACTGAGCATGATGATAGGAGCTTCCCGTGGTCTTTATCTCCTTGTAGTGGGCACGGTGAAAGGAGTATCTTTGATCTACAAGGCAGAATGGAGACAAAAGAATTTCATCTCGGTAAACAGGATTTTCTGAGCACATAATGCTACTTTGGAGAAGTGGAAATGGTTGAGACAGTGAATATTTGTGTGAGCTAAACAGAACTTGGATTTAGCAGATGCCAGAAGTAGGAATGTGAGATATCTTAATGATGAATTTTTGAAGCATCAGGTAAATCTCTAGTGTTTGAAGATACACGTGCCAAGTATAGGATGAATGACATGAATTGACAATGATTATGTTATTTAAATTTCACCTTATGTCTTTGCAGAGTTTTAAAGTTCCCCCTGCTTCAGACAATGGATGAGCAATCACAGGGAATGCAAGGGCAGCCTGTTCCTCAGTTCCAGCCACAGGTAATGTCTCCTGGCGAAGGTGGGCAGAGTGTGTAGGTCTGTGACTTACGTGTGAGTGAGGAAGCAGTGCATTTGTAGTTCCTTTAGAAAATAAACTAGCTAAAAAAATTTTAATTTTTGAATTTCCAAATTTTAGTCAGAATTGTTTTTTGTTTTGTTGTTTTTCATTTGATTTTTTGTTGTTGTTGTTGTTTTTTATTTTATTTTTGGCTTTTAGTTATAATTGACTTTCGGTATAATTAGTGTACATTTTAGGCGTAGTGTATTTTTTTGTTTTTTAATTGACACATGACTGTACATATTTATGGGGTACAACTTGATATTTCAATAGAACTGTTTTAAAATACTGTTTTATAATTCTTAGTTCTATACAGACGTGGAAACAAAAGGGCAGCTTTAGCTTTTAATTTTCTTTGAATCACCTATAGACTATAAGGCTTAATATTAGGCTTAGGGAAGGGGGTCAGAAAAAGGCAGGCTGTGCCCAGGCTTGGGAGGGCCTTTGCGGTTCACACCTGCCCTGTGCTGGTGGGCTGGTCTCTCCCCAAAGCCACCTTCGTTATTAAACCACCTATCAGTAGTAGTGCATTTCTCCTGTTAAATAGTTGCTTGTTTCATGTAACATAAAATGAAGCAAAAGAATGTCTTGATAAAAAAGGTACACACATTATTGAAATTCATTATTTACCATCCTGCATATGATATGGATACTTTCATAAAGCTCTGTGACATGTTTAAAGTAAGCAATGCCCACCCCTACATGGGGCAGCACCTCATTTTTATTGCTGTCATTGAGAAAGACTCTGTTTCTCTGCTTGGTGTGTGAGGCTCACTGCAGCTTTGTCTCAAATACACTCCGCTAGGCTTATCCCAGTTTTGCTTGGATAGTATTTGTGAAAAGGTTTGGGGAATTGATGTTCTTTCAAATGAATTCTGTAGTCAAATAGTCAGACAGGTTTGGGAGACTTGGGGTAACAGTTACATTATGACAGGACGTCCTCAGAGCCTTTCCTATACTCATGTGCATTGTGAATTTCAGAGAGGCTGTAGTGTTTTCAGTTGTCTATGGAATCCTTTTTTATTTTTAGCCTGTCTGTTGACTTCTACCAGAAGCATAGTTCGGAAAATAACTACCACAAAAGACTGATCTTTTCTGTGTCTGTGACTTTGCTCATTTTTTACTGTCCATCTCCCACCTCCAGTTTCTGAAATCTTGCCCATCTTTTAAGGACCATTGAAAATGCCATGACTCCCATGAAGCTTTGTTTAGTGGTTTAGTGTTTCGAATGCAGTATCTCTCCATGGGAACTTGATCATGTTTTTTTGCATCTTTCCTCTTATGTGTTTGTGACACTTTTGTGTCATTTCCATGTGGACATTTCCCTTATCTCTTCTATTAGGTTAAAATCTCCTTGTGGGAAAGGACAGTGTCTTACCTACCTTGGATGCCCTGTGGGACTTCAATCTCTCATATGTAGCAGGAACTCAGTAAGAATATGTGATTGAAACCAAGCAGGGACTCCTTAAATTTAACATGTTTAAATTAGCCCTTTACTTAATTGCACTTTTATATTGCTTTTTTTTATTGTATTAATACCTATCTGAATTTTCTGTATTGAATAAAGGGACCCTTTATTATTAAAGTAAGGCCAATATTTTAATTTCAAGGTTTTTTGTCTTTTTTTTAAATATCTGCCATCTATATTTTGTGTTATGGTCATAAATTATATTGTCAAGGTTATAATAACTCCTGTCTATTAAATATAGACATCTCAGTGCCATTTTGTGCATACACACAGACACTATTATTTTATATTATTTCTAGCAAAGGCAATAAAAGAACACCTCTAAAAATTAGGTAGTTCATGTTATGATCTTGAAGTTCATAGTTTTGAACTTCCCTGTGTTTCAAAGGGGGAAGTAAAATAAGCACTTTCATTTTGGCCCCTACTGACTCACCAGCCAGGCAAGGTCCGAGCAGCAGCAGGAGACCAAAATAAAAGTGATTGTTTCCCTGTGAGACGCTGGGCTGCCAAGCAGTGTAGATTTCAGAATAACAGAAGTGGTTCTGCATCTCTTTTCACACTGTTCCTTTCCTTCCTGCCTCCTGCTGCTGCTCTGGTGTGGGGACCTCTTTTCCTGTGGGAAAAGGCCAGTGTTATCCCAGGTTCTAGCTGCCTTGAGGGGTGGGAGGAGAAGGATTTCCCCCCTCTCTGCTTTCACACTGATGGTGTGAGACAGTGAAGGAACGATCACCTGACAGGAGCTTATGGGCGTTATTGCTTATTAGGTCTCTGAAAAATGTTACTGCTCTCAGCAGAATTATTTTAAAAGACTGAGAAAGGACAGCCTCTGCTCAGGGTTGACAGCCTTTCTTGTTTTGTTCCACACCATTGGCCTGAGTAATGGGGTGATATGGCAACATATGGTTAGTCCAGAGACCCCTTCCACTTTGTGATGCTAATGTGAGTCTGGACACAAACAGAAAATGAAGGAGGTCAGTTTTCTGAGTGTCAAATACCCATTTTCTGTTATAATGATGAGTAATATAGACTCTCAGTATATTCTTACCTTTTCTTGTTTCAAGATGAATACTCTAACCCCATAATGCATAATATGTGGTCTCATTTTTATTACAATGAGTTCCTTTTTCTTTAAAAGTTTTACAATGTGAGATTCGTGTATCTTTATTAATGTTTAATAAAGACTTAGGGGAAATAAAACTTAGGGGAAATTTCTTCTGTCAGCTTTCCTCCCTCCCTTCTTCCCTCCCTCCCTCCCTTCCTTCCTTCCTTCCTTCCTTCCTTCCTTCCTTCCCTCCCAATTTCCTTCTTTCCTTCCTCCTTTCCTTCCTTCCTTCCCTCCTTTCCTTCTCTTTCCACTCTAGAAGGTACAGAAAGAATATTTTGACTAGATTCTTATTCTGTATATTTTCATTGCCTTTGGACTCTTGTTTGTGGAACAGTGGATTTAGCTTTCTTTTCTTTTTAAGTTCAGACTATATAAAAGGTGGTGACAGAGAAATAGTAGAATTTTTTATTTTTACTGTAAGACTAATTTTAAACAAATGGAAGTTTACAGTTAATATTTTATAAATATTTTGATTTATGATTATTGAGTGAAGAGGGCTTTATTTTATCATAAAGTTAAACATAAAACAATTATAATGAGAGTACAATTTTAAGAATTTCTATGAGTCATAGGGGAGAATTAATTTTAGTTATAAAGTGATCAGAGGCCTAGGATATACTTTTTTTTGTAATTTCGAAGATAGCATAATACTTTGGCTACCTGTGAGAGAGGGAAGGCATCTCAGATTTGCAGGCAGAAAAATCAACAGTCCTTGCTTTTATGGAGTGGAAAGTATGAGAATCTTACCTTGGAGTCTTCATCTCAGCTAGTAAGGTATACTGACATTCTTTTAAGCTTTATAGCAGTGCAAGCCACAATCCATTATGATTTTGTGAAGGGATCGTGAAGTGAGATGAGATGAAGCTGACCTAGTATGGCATGTTCAGGGTTCATTGTGGGCCACAAAGAAGGTGGTCCCCAGTGGACAATGTTGAGTGGGTAGGATTTTTGGACATGATAACTGTATTGACTTCCTCTCTCTCTAGCTTATCTTCTAGAGTTACTGTCTTTGTGAAATAAGGGTCCTTTAGCTTGCTTCTTTTGATAAACTGATTTTGCCAAGGTATTTGTCATATGGCAGTGAGTAGAGGGCTTCTATTTTTGGAAGACTACATGGAAATTGAGATTATATTTTTCTATTAACTGTTTACTACACTGAACAACTTTTTTGATGTACAGGAGAATGAGCAGTAGCTGTTTTGAGGAAAGAAGACTTTGCCATAGTTTGAATTCATGGCCATAAAACTCAAGTAAAGCCTAACACTGTTCAGCAATCATATCCTTCATTCCATACTCTCCTACATCTTATCTTTTGTATCCTCAAATCTCCAAAATTCTTTCTCTCAGGCTCATTCTCAGCTGATGCCCTTGTTTCTATTTCACTGAAAAAACTGAAGCAATTCAAATAGAACTTGCATGGACTTTTACCACATGTCTTCTTCTCAGAATCTGTATAGTCTGCGTTTTCTGTTGTTACCAGATAAACTATCCAAACTGATCTCAAAGGCCAACCCTGCCATGAGTACCAGATCTCATCTCCATCCCCGACTCAGTTTAAACCCTTCTGCTAGGTCCATACTATGCTATTATTTCTCTCAGCTAAATAAACAGCAAAATGAAACAAAAGAAAAACCCTTAAACAGCCTTTTAAGTTACTCTTCCTTCCAGCTGTTAACCCACTTCTCTGATCCCTTTTATAGCAAAATTCCTAGAAAGATTTATCTGTAGTTCTGCCTCCCATTCCTCCTTTCTCTCTGACATCTCCTCCAGGTAAGCTCTCTCCCACACTGTGCTACCCCAGCTGCTCTTGGCAAGATTGCCACTTACTTCCTGTTGCTCTGTCCAGTGGTCAGTTCTCAGGCCTCATCTTACCTACCAGCTGCATTTGAGAGGGTTGATCCTCTCTCTTCTTTGAAACCCGTTCTTCATTTGGCTTCCAGGAATCTTGTTTCTCTCTTGTCTTACTGGTCCCTCTTCTTTGTTGATTTCTCCTCACCTTCCGAACCTCCTAACAATGGAGTGCACCCAACGCTTAATTCCTAGACCTCTTCTCTATCTATATACCTCACTTGGTGATCTTCCCAGTCTCTGCTGACTCTTAAATTTATATCTCAGCCTGGTCCTCTGCCTCAATTCCAAACTCATATATCCAGTTGCCGACTTGATGTCAGATGTGCATGTTTCAATCCTAATGTGTCCAGAACCGAACTCTAAGTATTTCTCTTCAAGCTAAAGACCCGTAGTCTCCTCTATCTCAGTTACAGACAAGTCCTTCCGGTTGCTAAGGCTGAAACTTAGAGCCATTCCTGATTTCTTCCTGTTTTTCTCCTCTCATGTCTAATGTTAGCAGATCCAAGGCTCTGTCTTTA